ACTTTTACTCAAGTACATTTTGCCTCAGGTATTTTACTTCACTTTATTTGCAGAGAAAAACAATCTGCGTTAACTGAAAGAAAACTGCGTGGGCGTTTGTGTGTGTGTGCAGATTTCCCACCATGTGAATGTCGTCAGAGGACATTGATGAAGACACAGACTCTGTCCTGTCATTGGACGATGACCGGAGCCGAACAATGAACGGAGGTTAAGGATTGTCGAGCAGAGAGCTCGGTGGATCAGAGGAGTCAGGAAGTGATGGAAGTCCGTGACCTTTTCTCAGACTCAGAAACTTTGTTTTCAAATACAAACGAGTCAAAAACGTTATCATCGGACTGCCCCGGTGGACAGAGCTGTCCTTCTGGAAACTTCCACGTCAAACGAACGTGTGGCGGTGAGCAGAGAATCTGTGCTTTCACATGTTTCCAAAACGTTATGTTTATTGTTCGGTTAAAATCTTCGTTAAGAAAACTGTGCCTTCATGATATCGATTATTTTCGTTAGCTTAGCATCCGTCCTGATAGCTAACGTTTCAGTGACGTAGGGCAGAACCACAGTCAGAAATAAGTGTGTGGTTTTAATTATAGTTTAATGAAATCCACTTCATTCCTGTACAATAACCTAGACTTGTTGTAGCTCCGACTGTGATCAAATCAAAACTACAGCTGGATTCAACGTGCACGTGATTTGAAAATGATGAAAGTATATTATGATGGTATTAAATATAGAGGAAGTTCTAATTTGATGAGAAACAAACAGCCAAGATACATTTTTGATTTATTTTTTTCTTAAATTTTTATCATAAAAGTCTCAAAGTCTTAAAATCCTCTAATGAGAAACATACAGAAAAGATCAAATTTTGAAAAATATTTTAAAAACAATTTCATCGTGTTTTATCATCTAACCAAAAATTTGAATTTTGGCAAAAAAATTCTGAAAGGAAATTCAAATAAATTTCTCTAAATGCTCTAATTTGATTAGAAACAGATAACATTTTGATTTTTTTTTTAAATTTTCATCAATTCTTTACTACATCTTTCTTTAGTCACACATTTGCTGCAGAAATGTTACTGTTACATTAGACTTTTCACCTGCAGTTCAGCTTCATTTTCCTAAACCGTAAACAGCACCAAAAGTCTGAAGGAGTTTTCACTGCAGACATTGAACTACCAGGTTCTTCCAGCCTCTACTACAGGCGTGTATAGAAGTCACCACCACCAGGACGTAGAGTTACCAGAGTGGAATCATCTGTAGTAGTCCACGTGTGACTGCTGTGGACAGAAGTGACGACGAGCTGAGACCTTCTCCCAGTCCTGGTCTGAGGGGGTGTGGAAGGGACGGAGGGTGAGTCGAGACAAGGGCAGGGAGATGAAGTTTGGAAAGTGTGTGAGGGAGGGGCGGTTTGGTAGAGGAGGCAGCAGTGTTCCTGGAAAGACAAGAAAGTGTTGAACAGAACCTTCTGGTGCTCTGGTGCTCACACCAGTCTGAACAGTCACCTGGTAATGGCCGCGTCCTGGTTCTGCTGCAGCCCTCTCCCACACGGAGGATTGTTTCAGAGCTGCAACACACAACAACAAAATGATACACACCGTGTGTGTGTGTGTGTGTTTTCTGGCTCAACATGTAACAAGAGATCATGTTGTTGAATTATCATGCTTTGATATTTTGTTATTTTTAATTTTTTTCCAAAATTAAAGTAAAATTTTTGTCTCCAGAAAAACGGTCTCCGTTTAGATGTTTAGATGTCGCTCCATGTTTAGGTCTTTCCACTCGGCCAATCAAACGTCTCTAAATTCATTCTTCAATGTCGGTAATTCCTTGGTGTCAGTAGTAGTGTGTTTGATTCTCTTATTGAACTAACTTATTGAACCCTGTCAAGTCGTTTCTAAATGATTTTCCCATCGATCTCTCGTCAAGTGTTCGTCTAACTCTGTTTATTTGATTTTTTAGGTTTTTTTTTTTTTTGATCTCTCCAAAGGTGGAGAATGAAGTTTGTTCTGTCTCGGTCTCTCACTCACCGCTGGTTTGGTGGCAGGAGTGTGGCATATTTTCCACCAGTAGGGGCAGCAGGTTGAGTCTTCAGCCCCTCCTCCTCCTTTTGCAAGCTACAGAAATAGTTCAGGACGTCCACAGGGTTAGAGGTCGTCCTTCTGAGGTGCAGACAGCTGATGTGTTCCTGATGACACCAGAAAAGAGTGGGAAAAGTTCACAACATGGACAGAGGCGTACCACATGTACCACGAACCAACCACAGAAGGACGACATGACCCTGACCCTGACCCTGACCCTGACCCCGACAAACTCAGGTTCAACTGTAATCTGGTAGAATGATCATAATAATCTGGTATTTATGCAGGATTAAACTGACTGTTTGGATGAAGATTTTATCTCATGATTTGAGGGAGAACGTGAAGGTGAAATGCTAACACTTCTTGACCCACATTGTGGTAGCATGTTGCTAAGCTACAGAGAGTCTAGCACCCGTTCTACTGTAGAAACATTTGATTCCTCACAAACACTTTTTGTCCATTTGTCCGACCTTTTCTCATGTGACCACAGAATGGACCAGAAGGATGTTGTGCCGGGCCCTCATGGGACCCTGGAGCCACTATTTGAACAGGCCAGACATATGCTATGTGTTTGTGGGTGTATAATCTGACAGTTGTTGTAGTAAAGTAGGCCCTAGAAACAACCTGGACGACGGTGTATCTTTCCAGGTGTTATGGTGGTGTTACCTCATATTTAGAACGCCACCTCTGCAGCCAATGGTCTGCTCTGACCTGGAGGACCTCCCACTTGTCCGTCTGCTCCTCTGGCTGCAGGTGCCATGTGTCCAACTCGGGCCACAGCCACCGATCTGCCTCGTCGACACCTAACCCGACCAACCTCTCCACCACTGGTTCCCTACGTGAAGAACAGGAAGTTAAAACCACAGCACACGTCAGAACGTTACAAGAACTCTGAGAATCCAGAAAACATCACCAGAGATCCAGATTTTTGAAGGCAAGAAGAGTGAGAAGGTTTTTTATCAGGTCATCAGTGACGGACGTCAGAAGCGTCAACAGATCCAACAGTTGGACCACAACAGTCTTCTCCACGGAGGACTGAAACAGGCACAGAAACTCTTTATGTACGTCTGAGAGATGGTCCATGTTGTGTCTTCCATGTTGGACCTACAGTACCATATATGGTCGTACAAGTTTAGGCACCAGGTCCACGAGGCCCGAGTGAAGTCTGTCTGATTTCTGCAGAAGTCCTTGTCTGTGCAGAGTCTTCAGAGCAGCAAAGAGCTTCAGTGTGGATGAAGTGCTGCTGCAGCTGTGGAGGCCACGGAGGAGGAGGAGCTGGGAAAACTCCTCTGGACTCCAGCTGCTGAGGACGCTCTGGACAGCAGACACACAAGGTGAGAACTGGAAACAATCCTGACATTACAGTCCCCAAAATACCCCCCCTCCCCAAACCCCCCGCTCTTTAGGTCACCACTTCATCAGGGAACAGGTCCATAAACCAGGGGGCGTCTGCAAACTGTTTGAGGAACGAGGGCAGATCTGATGTGGGTTTCCCAGGTGGCAGTGGTGTTGACGTTTTTGGAGGTGGAGGAGGAGAGGGAAGAGAAGGAGGTGGAGAGGCAGGAAGGGGGGTTTGTGGTTTTGGTTGGTTGACTGGAGACTGTAGAAGACACAGTTGGACACTCGTGACCTGCTGCTTCTTGTCTCGTCTCACATGTTTTTGTGTCTTTCACACATTTGTACCTGTCCAGGTGTGATGATCCTGACACGCCGTGGCTCCACTTTGATCTGTGTCTCAGGTTTGATGGCCACTGGGGGCGCTGTCTCCTGTTGTTAGGACCAAACTTATTATGACAGCACTGGTCGGTCAGTCACCGGAACATTTCATTTGACATTTATACCTGATGTTTCTGTAAAATCCCAGGGAAGATGAGTTTAGGGTTAGAGCACACTCCCTCTTTCAAGGGATGCAGGTCACATGGTCCTGGGTCACATGGTACTGGGGCACATGGTCCTGGGTCACATGGTAGATTACTTAATCTAACAGTGTCCAGGTCAAAAATGTTCTCCAAGTCAATCTGGAAAACAGTTGACAACAGGGACATGGATGGATGGATGGATGGACGGACGGATGGATGGATGGATGGATGGATAGACGGTAAAGTGACAGACAGAGACAGTCCTCACTTCAGTTTGTGAAAGTGACATACAGAGACAGTCCTCACTTCAGTTTGTGGGAGTGGACCATATATCAAGTCCATGTAACGATGAAAAGCTTCCTTCTGGGTTTGTCTGGTTCTTACAGCCTTGACCTTTTTGACCTTGACTGATCCTTGGAGGAGGTCAGACAGGTCAGCCCACTGCACCTGGAACATCACAGGATCAAAAACAAACAAACAAACACACACACCAGAAATGAATAACAATTTAGTTGTTTATCGTCCACAGACTTCAACTCACCGCAGTCATGTCTTCTGTCGTCATGAGGACAAAAAATACAAAGTGTCTTTGTTCTGTTGTTACTAGGCAACGAGACGCTGCTGCTGCTGCTGCTGCTGCTGCTGCTGCTGCTGCTGCTGCTGCTGCTGCTCAGAAACCTCAGCTTCAACCACAAAGGATGGATTTTATGACGGTGATCGTTGGAAACTTCCAGAGAATTACGTCAGATTCACCTTTTATTGATACAAATACAAATACTACGACTGAGTGAGTATTTCCACCCAGTGTTTTCTTGCATTTCCTTAAATCGTTTCAATCCAAATTGAGTAAACAGTGATTTTCTAGAAACCCAGACCAAAGGTGACATTTATTTAGCTTCGCTCACTGACTTCACTAATTACAAAACTACATACGAGGAGTAGGCTGCGTTATCGTCACTGGTCATACCATGAGAATACACACTCTAGTACACTAGGTGGCAGTATGCAACTAAAAATGTTGGTTGTTACCAACAGGGGCAGTGGTGGCTTGGTGGTTAAGGGTCTCAGGTTCAAGTCCACCAGCTGCCAAGTTACCACTGAGGTGCTCTGAGCAAGGCAACGTCCTCGCACACTGCTGCCCCCTGCTGACTGTGGTGATGGGTTAACCACATTTGGTTGTGTTAAACCCAGACGTTGATGGTGTTCAGACTGAGGACAGATGGAGCAGGCCCCTCCCACTACAGATGTCACTGAATAAAACAGAGCTTCATATTAAATTGGTACCATTGCAGTTCATGAATGTAGCCAGAAGAGGGGGTCTGTGGTCTCTTCAGGAAGCACCTCCTCTTCCCTCACGCCCTCGTCTCCTCTCTTTGTCGGTCACTTTGGTTCAAAGTTAAATGTATAAATAAGGAGGATTAAAGACGACATATCATTTGTGAATATAGTTAAATATAGTTTATTATTCAACAAACAAAGATCACAACAATGTGGACGTCTTCATATAAACAGGATTACTGTGTCTGAACTGTCTTTTCATGGAGAAAATGTTTCAGTCGTTTTTTGCTGGTCAAAGTGAAGTATGAAACCTGAACACACTGTTGTCTCCTCACTGAATCCTACCAAACTTCTCCCATCATGCTCTGCAGCTTCTCCTCCTCTGCAGGAGTAGACACGCTCCAGTTTCTGCTGAAGTACTGCAGTACTATGTTTCCTGACTGCTCCACCAGAGCCAGGCCTGAGTACGTGCTCTGTGGTCCTGAGTCTCCAAACACAGTCATGGCGGTCACCCTGGAAACAGGAGGAAACAACTGGTATCCCAGAATCAAGTGACCAGTGTGTGTGTGTGTGTGTGTGTGTTACCTGTCTGCAGACAGTCGCTCTGTGATCACAGGCTCCGTGTCGTCTCTCATTAGGTCCCATATGTAGAGGATGGAGGCGGAGTCTAGGACACAGAAGAGCGTGGCTCTGGTTTGAGCCCAGTGCAGTGACACCACGGCCTGTCCTGCCGTACTGGACCTCCACTGTGACACAGGCTGCTCCTGACTCACTGCATGGAGCCTGATGCAACCATCAGAACATCCCACCTGCAACAAAAAGCTGTTAGTTCAGGGCTCACACCCTCAAGGGGGCGCCGGTATGCTGGTAAACTTTAATACTTGTTTTCTTTGTCCACTTGAAGAAGAATGTTAGTGTCTGAAATAAGTTCAGTTCAACTGCTCACCATGTGGGGCCTTTACAATGTCCCTAGCTACAAGAAGGGGGCGCTGCAGAAGAAGTTTGGCTATGCTAAAGCATGTAGCTGAGGTCAGGGTGGGCTGGAGCTCACTTGGTACACACCCAAAGATTAGTGGGTTGTATCCCAGACCTGGGTGGGTCCCCAGAGTGGGGTCAAAGTTCAACCTCAACCTTCGTGTCTTCATGTCTTACATGAAGATCAGGGTTGGACTGGTGACCGTCAGGGTCTAAGGCAGTCAAACCATCACATCTTTATTCCGATTAATCACAATTATTCACGATTAATAGCCATGTTGACAAATAAATCAAGGTGATTATTAAAGCTGTTCATTCTGACTTTTGGTTTATGACTTGAAAATATGAATCCCTCACCAGGAACAAATCAGGTCTGAAGGGAGAAAAGTGTATGGAAGTGACTTCCACCGGTCGGACCCCAGCCTCCTGGAACCTGTAAACCTGGGGAGATGCCTTCAGTCCGTGACTGGTTCCATGTCGGACCAAACCCTTGGACCAGAATCACAGAGGGTGGAGTTACAGTGTGGAGCTCACAGGAAGTGTTCTGCAGTCACTCTGTTCTCACCATGTTGGTGCCGATGAAGAAGTGGTTGGAGTCAGAGGGCAGAAACTTCAGGTGGAGGTTCTGTGAAGGTCCTGTTCTCACTGCATCTCTGGGAGACAGAACCACAGAGAGCAGAGGTGAGGCATGGAGGGAGGGAGGGAGGCAGGGAGGGAGGAGCACTTATCAGTCTCACCTCTCAGCCGTGTGGAGGGAGGAGCTGTGGAGTAACTTCACTCTGCCTCCAGGCCGCAGTCCTGCGAGGGAGGGGAGGGGGAGAGGGGAGAAGGTCAAAGGTGAAGACAGAGCAGCGTTCTACAGAGAACATGAAGAGTGCACGCTCTAGTTGACCTAGGTCTGTGGAGGAGCCTGAGTCGTTAGCTTTGGGGAGTTCCAGCACCACCTGCAGGAGAGAGTAATGATGGAAGGTTAAGGTTAAATCTTTGGTGGTCTTTGGTTCACCCTCTACCAACCATCTCCTCAGTGAGGGATGAATGAAGTTCAATCTTAAATCAGGCTCTAGATCCGACCTACCCAGAAATTCAGAAGTCCTGTTTGGTCCAAGGAGGTCAGCTGGAAGGACCCCCCCGACTCTGAGTCTGGAGGAAGAAACACCACAGGTGAGGAGGAGGAGGACTCACACCAAGTGATGCTGAAGACCAAACATTCATATACTCTCCCACACCTTCCTCAGATGACAGCAGGGTGACCTCTGACCCCAGGGCCCCCACTGCAGTGGTGGGGGCCACTTCTAACGATACCACAGTTGACAAATGTCCTGAACCAGCCATCACTGCGTCTGTGGGAGGAGGGGAGAGGAGGTGTCAGTGCTGCAGTGACATCACAGTCCTGAGGTGATGAAGAACCACCGCAGGAAGTGACGACGGCAGGAAGTGAGAGGAAGGTAACTTCAGGTCACCAGAGTCAAGAGAACAACAACAAAGATGTGGGAGAGACAGGAAGTTCACTTCAGGACCAGGTGATGAAACGTCCACAATGATCAAATACAATAGTAGTAGTAGTAGTACAGTAGTAGTGTAGCAGTACAGTAGTAGTACAGCAGTAGTGTAGTAGTACAGTAGTAGTAGTACAGTAGTAGTATAGTAGTAGTACAGTAGTAGTATAGTAGTAGTACAGTAGTTGTGTATTAGTATAGTAGTAGTGTAGTAGTAGTACAGTAGTAGTATAGTAGTAGTACAGTAGTAGTAGTACAGTAGTAGTGTAGCAGTACAGTAGTAGTACAGCAGTAGTGTAGTAGTACAGTAGTAGTAGTACAGTAGTAGTGCAGTAGTAGTGTAGTAGTAGTACGGTAGTAGTGTAGTAGTACAGTAGTAGTGTAGTAGTGTAGTAGTAGTGTAGTAGTATAGTAGTAGTACAGTAGTAGTAGTACAGTAGTAGTGTAGTATAGTAGTAGTACAGTAGTTGTGTATTAGTATAGTAGTAGTGTAGTAGTAGTGTAGTAGTATAGTAGTAGTACAGTAGTAGTGTAGCAGTACAGTAGTAGTACAGCAGTAGTGTAGTAGTACAGTAGTAGTGTAGTATAGTAGTAGTACAGTAGTAGTAGTACAGTAGTAGTGCAGTAGTAGTACAGTAGTAGTAGTACAGTAGTAGTATAGTAGTAGTACAGTAGTTGTGTATTAGTATAGTAGTAGTGTAGTATAGTAGTAGTACAGTAGTTGTGTATTAGTATAGTAGTAGTGTAGTATAGTAGTAGTACAGTAGTAGTACAGTAGTAGTAGTACAGTAGTAGTGCAGTAGTAGTGTAGTAGTAGTGTAGTAGTATAGTAGTAGTGTAGTAGTAGTACAGTAATAGTGTAGTAGTACAGTAGTAGTGTAGTATAGTAGTAGTACAGTAGTTGTGTATTAGTATAGTAGTAGTGTAGTAGTAGTGTAGTAGTAGTACGGTAGTAGTGTAGTAGTACAGTAGTAGTAGTACAGTAGTAGTACAGTAGTACAGTAGTAGTACAGTAGTAGTATAGTAGTAGTACAGTAGTAGTACAGTAGTACAGTAGTAGTACAGTAGTAGTAGTACAGTAGTAGTACAGTAGTACAGTAGTAGTACAGTAGTACAGTAGTAGTACAGTAGTAGTGTAGTAGTATAGTAGTAGTGTAGTAGTAGTATCTGTTTCCCTCTGATTCTATCTGGACCTGAGGTTCTGTGAACCAGGGCTTTGATCCACAGACACACACACACAGTTTCTCATCACAGTGTACAAGCGTGTACCAGTGGAGAAGGTCGGCTGTCTGAAGGTCCAGTCCTGGTCCTCCATCCTCAGACGGTGGTGGTTGGCAGCAGGTTCTCTCAGGTCCCACAGGAGCAGAGAACCCACTGAGGTCCCTGCACAGACCAACCAGGGCTTCCCTGGACTGAAGCAGCAGCACTGCACCTGGAGACATGAGGACAGAAGACATGAGGACGCCTGGACTACAAAGACAGAGTGATTGGTGCTGGGAAACAACGTTGGTTTCCTGACCCTCCACCCATCATCATCACCTCCTCCTCCTCTTCTTCTTCTTCACGTTTGTGTGAACTCACCTCAGATTCATACACAAGGACCTTCTGAGGTCTGGACGGCTCCCAGATGTTCCAGACGCAGATGACGGTGCAGCTGTCCAGATGTGCGTCAGTGGGTTGGGCTGTGGGCAGGTGGAGCGACATCATGATGTGTCTCTGGACCTGGGAGAACTGGACCAGACTGACTGGACGACCTGTGTCAAGACAGAGGAAACGCTGACGTGGGTCGGCTGTGCGTCCAGATCTGCTCCTCTCTGTTTCACGTCTTCTGTTTACCACAAAGAAAAGGCAGCTGGGTGTTGAGCTGTACACCCCCATCACTGAAGGACAGTTTGGGGCTCTGTGATTGGAGGTTCCTCAGGGATGTCCTCTCAGCTTCGTCGTCTTCTAACAGGATGACCACGACCTTCGGGGACATCGTGAAAACAGACCTAAGATCAGTGAAGTGTCACTGACTCACAGTACTGACCGTCTGTTGTCCGCAGCACACCTGTGAGGCCCAGCGCAGGAACGCTGCCAGGCGCTGGGAATCAAAGTTCAATTCCTTCAGGTTTTTGTCGCCGTCTTCTTGACACAGGTTTGGATCTGGAGAAAGACTTCATGAATGAACTTTGAAGTTTAGTCTGGGGGACGGGGGGGGGGGGGGGGGGCCGCCGCCCCCACCCCCAGGCGCGCCCGCAGCCTGTGGGTGGG